GGTTTAGGTTTTGGGGCTTGGGGCTTGAAGTTTCGGGTTTGATTGTGGGGTTTATGGTTTCGGGTTTGAGGTAGCAGGTTTGCACCAAGCGCTATATCCCACACCCCAGGTCCAAAACACCAGCCACAAATCCTGAACCCGAAGCCCACAACCCCCTTTAACAACAAGAGCCCTCAACATAAACCCCCGCCGCAAATCCTAAACCCTAAACCCCTAAAGCCCTAAAGCCCTAAACCCTAAACCCATAACAACAAGAGCCCTAAGCCCTAAGCCCCTGAAACCCCCAACAACAAGAGCCCCAAGCCCTAAACCCCAAAGCCCTCAAGCCGAACCCGCGATCCGCAGCCCTAGAACCTGAAGCCCTTGTAGCAACCCCTTCATCGTAAGCCGTTACAGTAATGTAGGGGCCTAAAGAATTACCAATACTATTTTAGGGGTTCCTTGTTATGATTATAGGATAAAGGACCCCGAAACCCTACATATTCTAGTTCTTACGGCCGCTAAAGGCTAAAACCCTAAACCCATATAGTAGCCCTTATAGAACCCTTTAAGGAACCCTCTAAAGGAACCCCAAAACCCTATTATTGATCCATAACGGAACCCTGAACCCTAAAAGCAGACATGTGAGGAAATCCAGGAGGCTAAGGATGCCAAGGATCGGGCCGGGAGACTCAGTGAAACCCTAAACCCTAAGCCCTGAACCCTGAACCCTAACTCAGTGACAGCTCTGGGATAAAGCTTCCTTCTGGTTACTACAAGGGAAGGTCAGAAGTCCTAGGATCGTTTTGGGATTTGAGGTTCAGTGTAGAGTTGAAGCTTTTAGGGGTTTGGTTTAAGGTTTAGGGTTTAGGGTTTAGGGTTTAGGGTTTAGGGTTTAGGGTTTAGGGTTTAGGGTTTAGGGTTCAGGGTTTAGGGTTTACTTGGAGGATCATGGAACTGAGTAAGTAAGGTTATAACTACCTTAGTTGGGGTTATAATTACCTATAAGTATACTTCCCTTATTTATGACCCCAGTTACTAAGTCCCATGATCCTTGAAGTAGGCCCTAAACCCTAAACCTTATAGAGCTCTTATAGAACCCTTGCAGGAGCCCCTGAAGGGCGCCTTTGAGTCGCACGATCCTCCACCCTAAACCCTAAACCCTAAACCCTAAGCCCTGATTTTGGGATTCCAAGACCCGAGCTTCGGGCAGGAGCGGAGGCGTTTTAGGGTGCTGGGCTTAGGGCGTAGGGTTTAGAGTTTTAGGGTTTAGGGTTTAGGGTTTAGAGTTTAGGGTGTAGGGTTTAGAATTTTAGGGTTTCGGGTTTAGGGTCTCTGCCATGGTCGGGTTCGTATCCCTAACCCCTAGACCCCTAAACCCTAAGCCCCTAAAGCCCTAAACCCTAAAACCCTGAAGCCCTAAACTAGCGCCGTTGCTGAGGCCAGCAGTGATGCAGAAGCCATGGAAGAGCATTTGGACATCAAGGAGAATCGCAGCTTTGATCCAACCCTAAACCCTATACCCTATACCCTAAACCCTAAACCCCAAACCCTAAACCCCAAACCCTAAACAAAACCCTAAACCCCAAACCCTAAACCCTAAACCCTAAACCCCAAACCCTAAACCCTAAACCCTAAAAATCCCCAAAACCCCTGAACCCTAAGCCCTAAACCCTAAACCCTAAACCCTAAACCCTAGACCCCAAACCCTAAACCCTAAACCCTAAACCCTAAACCCTAAAAATCCCCCAAAACCCTATTCTGACTAGATGGGGTCCCTCGCGTTACTTGATTTTGGGGGCTCCCGAGTCTAGTCTTTTAAGGGAAGGGATCTCTAAAGCGCTCTTCAGGGTTTCTATATGGGATCTATAAGGGTTTAAGCTCTTCAGGGGTTTAGGGTTTAGGGTTTAGGGTTTAGGGGTTTAGGGTTTAGGGTTTAGGGTTTCGGGGTTCCTTGCAGGGGTCTTTATCTAGGACATTTTCAGGTGGGCAGCTACCGTTACAGGAGCCTTATAGATGGTTTAAAGACCTTATAGAAGCCGTATAGAAGCCCTATATACCCCAAACTCCCCACGTGTAGTTTCCCTCAGCCGAGATTGGGTTTAGGGGCTCAGTGGACTGATTCACTCTACTTGGGAAGGGTTTAGGGTTTAGGGCTTAGGGCTTTAGGGGCTTGGGGTTTAGGGGTTCAGGTGTTAGTTGTGACTTGCGAATGCAGACGAAGCCGTAAACACTAACCAAAAGCCCCGAACCTTTAAACCCGCAGCCCGCAGCCAGAAATATGGCAACCTTTAAAGCAGCCCCTACAAAGTTCCCTTATGCTACCCCCCTTATGGTACTTAAGGCTTTAGGGTTTCAGTGTTTTTAGGGTTTAGCGAGGCTTCAGGTTCCGGGTTTCAGGAGGATGGCAATTGCGGGGTCAATATGGGAGCACGATTCCCTGATAGTCCCTTCCTACTTGGGGGTTCATGGGTAGTTATAAGTAGGGTTATAAGTAGGATAACCATAGTTATGACCCATATTAAAGGACTTATAGCTCCTTTTATTACTGCCCAGAAGCTCCGAGTACTATCGTAAATACCAAAAACTTATTCAAACTTTGACGGCACCTACGTTATGTAAGGAGGTTGAGGGTTAGGGTTTAGGGGTTTAGGGTTTAGGGTTTAGGGTTTAGGGTTTTGGGTTTAGAGGGTTTAGGGTTTAGGGTTGAGAGTTGAGAGGTTACGGAGGCTTGCTTTGTGACCCCTCTGTGTTGGGGAAGTCCACATCGGTTGAGTTGCTCTAGGCAGTGCGGTATAGGGTTTAGGGTTTAGAGTTTAGGGTTTAGGAGGGCTCGGACACTAACTTGAGCCTTAAGCCCTAAACCTTAATGCCTAACTCCTGAACCCTCAACCCTTAACGCCGTAAGCCCTGAGGTTACCTGAAGCTGGGCCTCTTCTTGGCCACACTCCTCGCCTGGGTGGCCTTTATTGCGTTGCGAGGGGCTTATGGTATCGATTTTGCCTGAAGACGGTGGCATCTGCATGTCAACATGCATGTTCATTGCAGGACAGCTGCAAGCCGCATGCTGCATAAGGATCTGGTCGCGCTACAAGCATCAAGAGCTTCACGACCACCATCTCAACATGATTGCCGTACCCTCAGAGAGCTGGTGTCGGGAGCTTTTCCGTCGAAGTGTACTCTGGAGCACCCTTGGCTTGAAGTTCTTCTCGTACTCAGTTGAGCAAATCGGTAATTTGACACCAAGCTTACCAGCCTGTTGAAAAGTCTATCTCGCCGCCCATACTATACAAACCCGGCAAAGAAAGCCTGGGTCTTTACCACGGCTCTTTGTAGCTATCTGAATATCTTGGGGTTATAGGGTCATGGTTCTTACATTGCCGGGTTCTTGTTAAGGCATCTAATTTAAGTTACTATAATAAGGAAACCGTTTTTTTTTTACTGCAGATCCCGATTATGGTTACTCAAATTAAACTACTTAGCAAGAGCCCAGATTACCGTGGATCAGGAGGTTCTCGAACACTTGTGGCCCCTTGACCCTGACCTCGAAACTTTACACCACGAACCGTTCAAAATTCATGGGGGTTTATGGGGTTTACGCTTTAGGCTTTTCTGGGTTTTCACCGGTTGTTCTCGCAAAGCTCAGGTTCGTCTGAACGGCGACAAGATGGAGTGCTCCAGCCTCAGGAGGTGGTTTATGGTATCGGCTCAAAAGGTTGTCTGGGGCGTCATAAACCCCTTAACCCTGAACCCTAAACCCAGAACCCGAAACCCTAAACCCTAAACCCAGGACCCCTGGAGCCCGAAGCTTGTAATCAAGCTCGCATAGAACCCTTGTAGCACCCAGATAGAAAGAGCCTGTATAGTAGCCTTGATTGATACCTGTAGCAACCCTGATAAAGGGTTTAGGGTTTAGCGTTTAAATGTAGCAACCCTGATAGCAACCCGCATAGTAACCCGCAAAGGGCTCCGTAAAGCAACGCAGCAGATGCAGCAAGCTTTAATATAGAAGCCTAAATAATGACCAATGCTACTGTTAGGGGTTCGTTTTTATAAATATACTACAACGGATCCCAAAACCCCGTTCTAACTGTTAAGGCCCCTACACCCTAAACCCTCATAGTAGCCCTTATAGAACCCATGAAGGAACCCTTTGAAGGAACCACCCCAAGACCCTATTCTGATTATTAAGGCCCCTACACCCAGACCCCCAAAAGGAACTAAAAAATAGATCCCCTAATT